AAATGTCCGGTTCCCGAGGGATACGTAGCTTTTTGTTATTTATATAGTTCGTATATTTTCTAACGCCACGCGGACGAAGTCGCGGGCAACAGCTAGTGAGGTATAATTTATATATTTTCAGATGAAAAACCCTACACATGTGAGGAGTGCGGTCAATGTTTTATCACAGCCAGCAAGCTCGGAAGACATAACAAGAGAATCCATCTAGCTATCCGACACCAGTGCAGAATATGTTACAAATACTTCTCTAGGTGAGTTACTATAAAATAACTATATTATTAACTAACTGTGCTTTTTTATAATATAAGGTAGCAAACAAGCGGCTTGAATCCACAGAAATGTAAAGAGACCGCTGCATATGACATCTGCAATTACAGCGCTGCCTACCCTTCATTGACGGAGACGCACATAAAGAGGACATTTCCTTCCTATGCGTCTCCACCGTCAAATACACTTTTCCTTCCCATCCTTCTTAAGAAAAGGGTGGAAAGGGAAAGAGACTAAAATTAGGCCTCCGGCACCACACTCATCAGACTGTACGCGGAATCGCTTCCACTTCACACCTGTTTTGTGTGGTCGTGGTATTGCTGGGTTGCGACTTCGCCCGCGTGAAATTGAAATATAATGAAAAAAATAGCCTATGTTACTCACAGATAAATTACCTTTCTAATGGTGAAAGATTTTAAAATCGCCCCAGTAGTTTTTGAGTTAACTCAATACTTACAAAACTACAAATCATTCCTCTTTACAATATTAGTATAGATATACACTAGCTGTTCCCCTGCGGTTTAATCCACATGAAATTATGAAAATTTTATTTTATTGTTTACATGTGTCAAATTATCAATAGCAAATGTCAAAATGACATGACAAACCTTGGCAATCTTGCTTCCTTGATGTTGACAGCAACTAATGGTCTCTTTCCCACATTAGGGTTTTTATACAAAATATTTACCCCCTAAGTTTAATGGCATGAAAATATGTAGCCTAAAGCATGTAAGTGTGTGTACGCTTTATTATTATAGTATAGATTTAAATTTATGATTCCAATAAAATAAAAAAAAAGTTAATACTGTACATAAGAGGCCTATTCTCGTTTTTCCAGGTTTGAATATCTAACAAAACATTTTGATAAGAAACATCCAGAAGATAAGTTAGAAGGGGAACCGTACGGTATGTATTGGTCCTTTGAGTCGGATTCTAAAGTCTCATTTTCTAAAAGGAGGGCGTAATGCACCCAGGGCGTTATTTATTGTATTTTTTTACAGATTATAATGCGATATTGCCTTATTTGAAAGAACTTGAAGAGCAATTGCAAATAAAAACTGACGAACCACAAGAGAAAAGTGAGAAATTATGGGAAGATTGGCCGATAGATGATTGTAAATATCCTAATATTAAAGAGATTATCAAACCGATAGATAATGCTGTGAACAGTTTAACAGTGGTCGTGGAAATGCCTAAAGGAATAATAGACACGGAAATTAAAAAAGAAATAGACTCGGATGGATATAATTCAGATGTCAAAGGGGATATACAAGACAGGTAAGAAATCTCATCTTACTAATATTATAAATGCGAAAGTTACGGCTGAACGGATCTCGATGAAATTTGGCACAGGTTTAGAGCATAGTCTGGAAGAACACATAGGCTACTTTTTTCAGGGAATAGTTACGGTTCCCGTGGGATTAATTTAGTTTTTTAATGTTTACTCGATCATTCTGCAACGGTTCAACATATCTTATTGAAAGGCACAATAAAACAAAGTCTGGAGTACACATGGGGTAAGGTTCATCCCCGAGGTGTCCGGTTCCCGAGGGATACGTAGCTTGTAATTTATATAGTTCGTATGTTTTCTAATACCACGCGGACGAAGTCGCGGGCAACAGCTCGTACTAATATAAATGCGAAAGTCTAGATGGATGTTTGTTAGATTGTAGCCTAAACTGTTGAACGGATTTCGATGAAATTTGGTATAGATGTAGAGGATAGTCTGGAACACATAGGCTACTCGCTTTTTTTATTGTTAATTCAAAACGGACGGAGTCGCGTTGAAAGCTAGTGTTTATATAAACAGAAAAGATTTATATTTTTGCATGTATTGAAATAACTCAAAAACTGAGCCGATTTCAAAAATTCTTTCAAAATTAAAAAGCTATGTTATCCCTAAAAACATAGGCTGTATTTTTTAATTTCATATAGACGAAGTCGTGAACAACAGCTAGTAAATAAAATTGTATTACAACGAAACAAAGATATAGAAGTGACAGTTGACAATTCATTTGAGACATTTGTTACTAATATAAATGCGAAAGTTTGGATGGATGTAAGAACACATAGCATAAATACTGTGGTTTTTTTAATTGCTCATAGAAGGAGTCGCGGGTAAAAGTTAGTTTGATAGTAAAAAATGTCTTCAATTACATTTTTGTTACATTTTTTTTTATAAATGGGACCCACCTGCAAGCATTACCTTTCGGATAAAAAAAGAAATATCAAAATCGGTCCACTAGCGGCGGAGTTATGCCGTAACACACAAAAAAAAAACGTACGAACGACTTGCGTACCTCCTTCTTTTGGAAAGTCGGTCAAAAACTAGCTTTCGTTCGACTTCGTCTAAAAAAAATAACTAGCCTATGTTTTTCTGACTACATCTATGACTCATCGAGATCCTTTCAGCTGTTTAGGCTACTCTAACAAACATCCATACAAATTTTATAATATTAGTAATTTTTTATATTTTTTCCCAGCTGTTCAGATAGCGATTATTTTCCATCAAATACATGGGCAGCGTCACCAAAAATAGATTCACCGCCGCATAAAAAGCGTGAAAAACCAGATACGCCTATAAAATGTGAAATATGTGAAAAAACAATAAGCTCCCAATCTTATTTACAAATACATATGAGGACACATACAGGGGAAAGACCATTTAAATGTTATATATGTGATCGTGGATTTATTACAGCGAGTAAAATGCATCGACATGTCTTAACGCACTCTGAAAGTTTAGGTAAGTTGAAAAAAATATAAAAAAACTAGCTGTTTTGTCAAATTATCAATAGCAAATGTCCAAAAAATATGACCTTGGCAATCTTACTTCCTTGATGTTGGCAGCAACTGATGGTCTCTTTCCCACATTAGGGTTTTATCCAAAATATTTACCCCCTAAATTAAATGGCGTGAATTTATATAGCCTAAAGCGTGACGTAAGTGTAGGGCTTTTTATTAAAAAAAGAATTATTCAAAAATATGCTGTAATTGCTGACATCTTAGGCAACAAAGAAGTGTGTTTACGCTTTATTATAATAGTATAGATAAAAAAATACAAAAAGTAAAAAAAAAAATTAGTATAAGAAAGGATTAAACAAAAAAATGATATTTTTTCCAAATTTTTTGTTTTTTTTTTATGTTTTTTAAACTAAAATATTGCTTCTAGTGACTGTTTTTAAAGTTACTCTTAATGATGTTTTATCCTCTTTTTTTACGCTTTTTAGATGATCCAGCTATGAAATTGGAAATAAATTCAGATGTAGGTACTGATGTGAAGAAAAATAAAAAAATCAAGGAGTAAGTATTTTTTTAATAACGTTTTCATACAAAATACAAATTACATTTTCATACAAATTGTTGTAATTACTATATTTATTTTATTTTTCAAAGAGTTTAGGTTTTTTTATGGTAACAGGCTATCTTAGTAATTTTTTTTAAACTTTTTACGTATTAATTCGCGATGAAAAAGGTTTTTTTTTACATAAGACAATAATACTGTAATCCTAATTACTAGTAATTTTATTAGCGGTATAAAGAAAAAATCCAATCAAAGATTGAAAAAAAATCGACCCCACGCTTGTGAGTACTGCCACAAAAGATTCCTACATCTGGCAACACTACAAGTGCACAAGAAATCTCATGCTGGTGAGGAGCTAGTGCTGAAATGCCACTTCTGCCTGATGAAGATGGATGATGAAGAGTCTCTGAAGGTCCATGAGGCGACACACGAAGGTCCGAGGGCATATTTATGCACGTTATGCGGAAAAACTTATAAAAAACGGGAAACTATGGTAAGTTACCTTAAAATTAAGTCAATTTTACAGCCAAAGTAATACATAATTTTTACCTTTTTTTAAAATCTTATAATTAAAAAAATAGTTAATAGCTGAATTTAGTTACAACGCCATCTATTGGTGGGAATAAATAGTTAATTATTGCATTTTTTCAATAATAGATGGCGCTATTATAAATAGTATTTTAATTTTATGTTTGTGAAGTTTACTTATTACTAGACTCCCAAGTTTGTATAATCAGGTGATTATAAAGAAGTAACGGCTCGTGTCGAGGCTCCTGAGGGAGTCCTAGAGCTTAGTTACTCATAAACGAGGTTTAGGCTAAGCGCCATGCGCTCGGCCACCTCAATACCGGTGGAGCTGTAATACCTCTTCAGGGCAAACAGCGGCCATTTAGTCACAAAAAAAAAAAACAAAAAAGAAATTGTATTTATTAGACTTCTAAAAAAATGTCACTGATAATGTTATTTTCTATGGATTTAGTCAAATTGAATTATTTTGACTTCTCTACTGTTTTTAAATTGTACTACTGTTTGTAAATAATTCTTTCTCGCCCTAATCGATACTAATATTAGAATGGAAAGGTTTTTATTTTAGTATGTTACTAATAAACTCAAAAAATAATGTAATTATTTCAAAAAATCTTTCACTATTAGAAAGGTACATTACCACTGACTGACATAGAATCATTTTTTATTATATTTTTTTAATTTTTCGTGTAAAAAAATGCAAATAACCTAGTATTGTTTCTTCTTTTCTATTCCAGATGTACCATAGAAAGCATCATACAACAGATAAAGAGTACACTTGCGATATTTGTTCAAAAAGTTTCCCTTCATCTCGTAAACTGGAGAAGCACATAGCAACTCACAGAGCGGACCAGTACGTGGTCAGATACGAGTGTCCTGTCTGTGCGCACATGTTTAATACTAAATATCACATCAAAATGCATTTAGTTACACATCAAAAGGAAGGATTGTGAGTTTTTTCTATTTTTTAGATGTTTAACCTCTATATTGCCACTTTATGTCGCTAAAATAGCGAAAACCCCCATCATTTGTCTGAAAAATATCATTTTTTTTTTGGATTTTTTAACGATTTTTATATTTTTTTTATTTTTTCGGGCTTTTTTTTTGAAAATATGAGTTTTTCTGATTTAAAGTCTATTATTTAGTGATTTTTTTTAAATATTTTTTGTCTCTAATGATGTTTTTTTTGTTTTACAGAATAGTCGAAGCTAACAGAAATGAAATATTAGCTATGGTCTTGCAAAATGCACGTCGGATACCGAAATATCCTGAATCCGGTGTGAAAACATCGACAGACGAACAAAATAAAAAATGCAATATTTGTGGACAAGTTTTTCAGCATTTTTTCTATTTAGAGGAACATTTGAAAAGCCACGGATCGAAAATAGCTTTGGATGATGATGAAAAAATCGAAGAAAAAAAACATATCTGTCAAGTTTGCAGTAAGAGTTTTAAATTACATTATTATTTGAAATTACACAGTTTTACACATACTAAAGAAAAGCCATACATTTGTCAGCAATGCGGGAAAGGTTTTATTACACGGGGTAAATTGAAAAGGCATTTAGAAACACATAGCGGTTTGAAAAAATATCAATGTCATATTTGTTACAAATTTTTTACAAGACCTAGTTATTTAAGAATTCATATTAGGACAATACATGGGGCTGAAAACTTCACGCTTGATAAACAATTTGGGGTAATTAACGGGTTAGGGCAAACTGTTTAAGGTTTTTTGGGAAAAAAAATCAAAAAATTTTGATTTTTTGTATATTTTGTCGGATATCCGAATTGGTTTAAGTCGAATCCAATTATGATAGCTTACTGACAATGTCACAAGAGCCTTGTCTGTACTGTAGACTGTTTTTTATGTCATTTTTTGCTTATTTAAAAAAAGCGTTCTCAATTTGAACGGTTTTTTTGCTTGTTACTGAATATCTGCAGATTGTTCCCATTTTTTTTTAAACTAAAAATTTACTAAGAACAGATAACAGCGTTCTTACTACACTTTGTTTGACTATAACTAAGAAATTATTTATTTTACTTAAAAAAGGCTATTTTTTATGTGAAAAAATGACATTTTTTTATTTAAAAAATGTGTTTTTTATAAGAGAAATACAATCGGCGATAAATTGTCGACATTTTTCTCCATTTTATGAATTGACGATTACAATCTGACGAAAAATAGTCAAAGCATATCGCCTAAAGCTACTATCGTTTGGTAAAATATATGAAAACAGCATGGACATAGAAAATATCACAAAAAGTGATTGTTTGCGTCAGTTAACTGTCATAATTAAATTTGTGGGTAGTCAGATATTTTTGTCGGACTATGCGCTTTACAATTTACCAGCACAGTTGGTTTGTAACGCGCAAGGACAGCATTGGCTTCAACTGGCATAGTTCACACGCCAGTGAGTCAATACAAGCTTTCGCGACTGTACTGGCTGAGTGTAAACCGCGAAAATGTTAACGGTAAACGGGTCTAGAAATTATAGGTAGGTTTTTTAAGCACATTTTTTGTAAAATAGTACTTATTGTGTTGAAATAAAGTTGGAAATCATGAATTCTAAATTCATATCGTATTATTTTAGTCCTTTTGACTATTAAAAGGACTTTTTAGATGCTAATTTAAAAAGGAACAATTTCTTTTTTTATAGAAAATAACTTGCCAGTACTTAGTGTGATAATAAGTTTTGTTAAAGAATATATTGTTATATGTATGTAAATATTTTATTTTAATCATCACAATGTTGCTAAATTGTCGTTTTTTCTACTTTTTTTATTTGGCAGAATGACAATGACTTTTTGTGAAAAAAAAATCCGTTAGGATTAAAAAAAATGTAATTGATTGTTCCAATAGTAAACATTTTATACCATATTATTTATATAATTTCTATATTAAATTCAAATATTTTTATTACAATTTGAAATAAGGTTATTTTTTGGCTGAATGACAATGTGTTTTGTCTTTTAAAATAAAAAAAATGCAAATGTCAATTAAGTGTTGGCGTTTTATTGCCTATTTTTTTTAATGCGTAATTTCAAGAATTTGTATATGAAATAACGAAAATACGAACAAACTTGATACTTTTATTATTTGTTATATCACAAATTTAATTATTTAATATTGGCTTTTGTTGTATTTAAATGAAGAGTGAGCGAGAAAGACTGCAAAAGCAATAAGTGGGACAGAGAAAGAACATGTCAGTCGTTCGCGCCACTTTGAAGGTCATAATGATATCCGTAGATCTGTTTGTATTTTTCCAATAAGAATTATATATGCCGTAGATTTTTATTATTAGGGCGTGAGACAATTTGGAAATAGCAATAAATTGTAGTTTATAATTCTTTTAAGGTGTTTGTTACTTTAGAAATGTTTTTCATTGGATCGAATTATTTTAGGTTATGTTTTCACGGAGGTTGTTGATTCTTGTATAGATTATTAAATAAATTAAGTTTTATATGATTGTTTTATTTTTCCCTCTCTGCATTTATAAATATAAATTTGTAGCTTAAACTTTAAATCGGATTTCGATGAAATTTGGCATAGATGTAGTCTGGAACACATAGAGTACGTATTTTTTTTAATTATATGCAAGGAGTCGCGAAACGGGAATTTATTCCATGCAGAGTTGTGAAGCGGTGAAAGTTAGTAAAAAGCTAGAAAAATAATTTAGAGTAAGGACGAATTCATCTTCCTCCTACTATATGGAAATTCGAGTTTCCCACAATGCTACCGTCGGCGTCAAAATTGCGAAAATCAAATAGGCACAAAGTATAGGCTTATAGCCCATTGGAGCAGAGATATCTGTTAATTGTTAGTATTTTTTTGACCGATTCCCCAAAAGAAGGAGGTACTCAATTCGTTTGTATTTTTTTTAAAGATGCATTTTGGTTCAGAAATAAAACAATAGACAATAAATTACGATAAATCTTCACTTGACACAACAGAACAGTTTTCTCGATTTTCATGCAAATAATGTGCTGTTAAGTTTTTTAAGCAATTTTGTAGACCCTGCAACGCACAAAACATCTGTGAAATACTTAAAAATGTATCTATAAAAATTATACCTATTACCATCTAGGAGTCGAACCCAAGATTACAATATTAACAAAGATAAATCTAACTTTAAATTAATAATTAGTAACATGAGGCATATAAAAAATAGTAAAAACACATAAAAACATTAGGATTTTTTAAATCACAGGCATAGACAATAGACACACAAAATAGAAACGTCAACTGTCAAAAAATCAAACAAAGCAAACCTTTCTTTTATTCATCAGCCGTTGACAGCAGCGGCAAAAACATTTGATAATGATAAAAATGTCCTGTCCTAGTATTGTTACAATACGTAATAATTCCAATAATGTGTCATAAACTTGTGTATCCCGTTCGCAAGAAATCAATTTGCCTACTTCACAGAAATAATCCATTAAAGCGCCGGCAAATTCTGACAGATGGTTCGGCGCGGCTTTACACACACTCGACAATTTCCCGCTCTTCACTTTCTTGATTTTACGTCGTTTATACTCACAATTGTCTTTCTTATCGTTTGACGGTAGCAACTGGAAGTATATTTTATAAATTGGCATCTTAATTTAACATTTAAACATCTACTTTAGGCCTCGCCAGGTCTGGACCAATTCAGGAATCGCAGATGTCACTACTTTCATTTACAATGAGAATACATTGCTTAAAGGTCGAAGTATGAAGTGTGCTATCCTAGATAATTTAAGTCCCTTATCCTTTTAAGAGGAAAGAATGGTAAGAGAAAGTGAATTTGACGGTGGAGGAGACGCAAAGGGGAAATATCCTTATTATGCGCGTCTTCTCCGTCGATCAAAATTAGGTAACGCATAAACGCATATGCAATTGCGGATGTATACGGGTAACGGTTGCTTCAGTATTTCGGCGGATTCAGTTGGCCGCTTGCTCGTTTGCCACCTTATGTTATAAAAAAAATGCTTTCAACTAATATTATACAAGTTTGGAAAGTAGCGTATACGTTTAAGCTGAGTGTACAAGGCAGGAATGTGTTTGGTCATTAATATAATTACGATAAAATCTAATCCAGTCAACATTGACTTTATTTATATGTCCTTTAAAGGTTTTTTGTGTTGATGGTACGAAAATACGCTGAAACAGATTTGTTTCTCATGTTAATATCGTTTATAACAAATTATTTATAACCTGCATTCTCCATACTTGTACCGGACAGTTCATCGCGTCTTAACTATTTCTTGTTGAATATACATCTTTATAATTTAAATCTTAACAAAAAAAAACGTATAATTTAGGACAACTCCATCAGATAAATGTCAAAACTATTTTTCTTAAAATATAACGACCACAGATTAAATTTCTTCAAATATGCACCTATATAAATAAAGGAGCTTTACGTCGTGGTATTTCGTGCTTAAGGCAAGGCGTACCCAGGAAATCCGAAAAACAGGCATTTTTCCGTGTAAATTATATCGAGCTCGAGATCGTAAAGTGTATAATCTTGAAAAAAATAATGTGCGTAGATGCATATTTAAACTGTTATATTATCCGAATACATTTTTAATTATCGGTTCCATTTATAAGAAAAAAAAAATATTAGCGAAGGCCTTTGAGAAACGATTACCCTTAGTTATCTTTTAATTTTCAACAATAGTGAAGGAATTTTTGAAATACTCTCAGCAGTTTTTTGAGTTATTTAGGTATATAGAAAAATTCAAATATTTCCTCTTTATTATATAGATAGAGCAGAAAGTCGGTGGCTGTGGTTTAAGCATTTGCCTTGCAATCTCCTGTAGATTTCTTAGGTTTCGCATCTCGTCATGCACCAATGTGATTAGGCTATGTTTATACTGTTTTCATATTTTTTTTTATTTCACGGTGACGAAGTCTCAAGAGCCTAGAGTAAAAAATTTTGCTAGTTTTCAAAGCCTTTTTGTAGCAGTGGTAAAAATGAAACAACACATTCCATAATAAATCTTCCAAACAGCATATATTTTAAAAAATAAAAAAATACATGATACAAATAAAATCTTTTAAACTAAAAAATCAGCACAACTGGCAACATTCGTAAGGTAAATAAGAGACAGTTTTAAAACTAATAATTTATTTTGAATTAAAAGTTACAAGTCGCATAATATGCCAGTGTCCACAAATTTCAAACATTATTTAAAAAATACTTACATATAAATACAGGATAAAAATTAATAAATCCCATATAACGTGATAATAAAAAAATTCAACTTGCCATTTTAACAACTCTAGACTATTTCTAGGTAATGTCAAATTGATGGGCCTTACATGACAAAATAAAATATATATATATTTATATAGATATATAAACTATAGACGGAGTTTACACTATTATAATAAAGCGTAAACACACACTTTGTTACCTAAGATGTCAGCAATTACAGCATATTTTTGAATAATTCTTTTTTCAATAAAAAACCCTACACTTATGTCACGCTTTAGGCGATATATTTTAACGCCATTAAACTTAGGGGGTAAATATTTTGGATAAAAACTCTAATGTGGGACAGAGACTAAAGTTATTGCCAACATCAAGAAAGCAAGATTGTCAAGGTCATGTCATTTTGACATTTGCAATTGATAATTTAACAAATGTAAACAATAAAATAAATTTTTCATTATTTCATGCCGATGAAGCCGCACGGGAACAGCTAGTTAATAAAATTGGAGTGTCTGTAAGGCCAGAAGAAATTTTCAGATTTCGGGAAGATGTATTTGCGTTGGTAATAACGAAAATCGCATTTAAATTTTGTCTGTCTGTCTGCAAGAGTTAGTTCCGGGTAATCTCCAAAGCTGGGCCTATTTCGACCGAACTTTCACTTAAGGGTAGCTTTTTTTATAAAAATAAGATGGCAAACTCGCAAGCGGCCTGAATCCACCGAAATGGAAAGCCACCGCTGCACAAACATCCGCAATTCAGCGTTGCCTACCCTTTATTGACGGAGACGCACATAAAGAGGACATTTCCCCTTCCTATGCGTCTCCACCGTCAAATACACTTTTCCTTCCCTTCCTTTCCTCTTAAGAAAAGGGTGGAAATGGAAAGGGACTAAAGTTAGCCGACATAGACGGGCATATTATAGGATTTTTTTTATCTTAATATTTCGTGAACAAAGTCGCGGGCAACATAGAAAGACATCGATTTGTGCTCCGAAAATATCTATATGTTATATATCTATATTATAATATTTGGGCCCAAAACAACATACATTCCCTTCAACATGGCGGAAAAAGCCCTATATAGATTTTAAATGCGTTTATGTACTTACATAAATCATACTGTACTACTAACTATATTTTGTCAATATTAAAAAAACATCGCCACATTGAAGTGAAATTTTGAATAAAATAAATAGATTTAAAAAAAACTATAATAGCTAGCCAATAACTCCTTATTATAGTGCTAAATTATTTTTTTTATAATAAATTGTATTTGACCATAACATCTGTCAAAACTGCGCATAGTCTATGATTGACAGTTGGGCGGGAATTTTGACAGATGTATAGTCTATGTTAAGCTATTTCCCACACGATTTTATGCCTTTTTTGTACCAGTGTTGTTTAAAACGAGTTTTTTTAGACAAAGAGCATGTAGTGTGGTTTTATTTAAATTTTAAAAGCACAAATGGCATGGGGTCCTTTATATCCCCTAACACGAAAAGCATTTGATGCTGGTAAAATCGATGCACCAACCGAAACGACAATTTAAGTCGAAAAATATTTAAAAAAATTAAAAATTTTTCAAAAGCACTTCATTCCAATAGTCATTTCCACCTATTAGATAAGTATAGCGGAATTAGCATATTCCCATTTTTTTACACAAAACGGGAACAGCATTTTTCGAAAAATAAAAAATATTTTCCGTCAAAAACTGTCAGATTCGGAAACGAAAAAAATAATAAAAAAATCGTAAAAGATTTTGTTGGCAAGTCATAATATAATTTTTGTCAAATTGAAAAAATATATAAAAAAAAACATTTTATATGTCAAATAAATAAGACGTCATCTAAAATAGCCCTTAACTAGAACGCTTATTCTATGAGCAGAATTGGTCAAAAAATTTTTTGGTGAGTAAAGTTCCTGACACACTGACCGGAGACTTTTTATTTTAAAAAAAAATTAAACTGCCATTGAAAAAAAAATTAATTTTACTTTTCACGTAAAACAAGCGATTTTCTCTGATATACGTGAAAATAAAAATTAAATTTTGGAATTATTCCCAACCGTCACCCCGGTCTGTCCCCACGTGAGAATAAAAAATTTCATCCGTCCCAACTTTCGCGACGAGGGGACGGTTGGAACTTATTTTATTTCATAACGGTTCCATCTGTCACCTGGTAATCGTGCTACTAAAAAGTGGGACGGATGAAACTTTCTATTCTCACGTGGGGACAGAGTGGAAGACGGTTAGGAATCCAAATTTTGTGTCAATGACAGATACCAATTATATTTTCGAAAAAATCTCCGGTCAATGTATTAGCATTTTTACTCATTTTTTGTGAATTTGCTCAACATTGACAAAACTCGACTTTTGAGTTTAATTACTCAAATAAGCGACATGTGATAGCTACGCCGATAGGTGGGTCAAATATGGGTTCCTTATGGGTCCAAACCCAACCCATAACCCAAAAAAAACTGTAAAGCAGTAAATAAATGTAGAATTTGTAATTTTGCCCTTAATTACGAATTTTGAAAGCGACATGGCAGTGTTGTTTCCGAGTAACATCTGGAAATAGAAAAAAACATTTTTTAAACAGAGATTTGAACAAATTAAAAAATAAAGTGGCCTGCCATAAGAGTACACTCAGGGAAACTGTCGGTGTTCCATAATAGCTACAATTGTTTGAACATTTTAAGACGCCGCGGAAAAAGAAATACAAAAAAACTCACAATACACATCCCCTTATCTCTATGGAGGTCGGCACAGTATGTGCTCCATACATCTCTATCAACCATATCTGAATACACTCCTTTCTTAAACATATCTTTCATACAATCCATACTTTCTTCGGTCTTCCTTTACCTTTGTAGGCATCCACAATCAATCTTAACACTCTTCACAGCTTATAAATATCTGTCCGAAAAAAAGACTTGTTTCTTTTTATTATCCCTTCGTTTGCACTCATTGTTACCTAATTATTTGTAAGAGGCGGAGTTTGTCTTTGCAACGAACAAGGCAATTTTATAAGTGGAACACCGTGGAGTAGCGCGATTGTACAAAAAAAAAAACAAAAAAAGCGTTTGAACATGAAATAATGTATACTAGTTTAAATAACAAACGTTTAGTTTACTATGAAAACAATCTAGGAACGAAAATGTTTTTAAAAAAATGTAAAAAAAAATATTTTTAATTTTTTTTACCTCTAGGCGGGCTGTGGCGTGCTGGTCTTTTCCTTCTTTTTTTCTTTCTTCTTTTTAAGGAACGACGGCGTCCTTAGACCTTTCTTCTTCTTCTTGTCTTTCTTAGGAGAGTCCTCAGTGGACACTTCCTTAGAAGGCGACCCCTGAATAACGAAAAAAATACTTCAGATAGGTTCCCAAAATGTTTTTTAATTTTACTGCATTAAATTGGACCTTAATAATCTATCACAGGTAGGAACAATACAAAAATGTATCTTTTAAATTCTAGTCGGAATTATTATGCACTAGCTTTCGCCCGCGATGTCCGCGTGGAATTCAAAAGATATGAGTAGCCTGTGTTCTTCCAGACTATACTCTAATATGGCAAATTTCATCGAGATCTGATCAACAGTTTAGGCTACAAACTCTAACAAACATCTAAACTTTCGTATTTATAATATTAGTAGTATTTTGTTGATTTTCACATTATGACATACATATGCAAGCCTTCGAAATCATTTAAAATTTTGAACCCTCAACTCGTGGACGCACGATTTCCAGCGTTGAGCCCAGGACACTTGGACATAGAAAATTATCTATTTATTACGTGGATTAAGTTACGGACATTAGCTAGTATTCTTACCTCTTTACTGCTATGCGAGAAAGTGCTTTGATGGGCATCAGAGTGGTCTCCGTTCACTGTATGTTCGCCTGAAATTATTATTCATAACCTCACAATATATTATTGCAACAAAACAACCATTTTTAATTTGAAATGCGGATTATACTGATAAAAAAATTCAACCTAGATATCAAATCCGAACACCGATCTATAAAAATGGACAGGCTATAAACGATATTTTGTGTCTATTTGGTATTCGTCATTTCTAGTTGTGGTTTGTCGCAATGGAGTTTTCAAACTAACAATGTATCCAAAAAAAAGCCCTTGGTAT